CTCTCTCTCTCTCTCTCTCTCTCTCTCTCTCTCTCTCTCTCTCTCTCTCTCTCTCTCCTCTGTAGTTTTTTTTTTTTTTTTTAAAGATAGGTCTCTGTGTGTGTGCATGTGCGTATGTGTAACCCTGGCCATCCTGGAACTCTATTCTTCTAGGTTGGCCTCGAACTTGGAGATCCTCCTGCCTCTGCCTCCTGAGTGCTGAGATTAAGGGTGTTCACCACCACTGCCTGGCTTAGCCACTGATGCTTGGTCCTGATAACAGTACCAGGAGAATGTCTCATCCCGTGGAGTGGGGCTTGCAGGTTGGTTATCCCCATAACATCCATGCCACTGTTGCGCCCAGGGGCCATATCTTCCCAGACTGATTTTTACTGTAGCTTGTTGGGTTCACAATTGCATAAGATTTATGATTAAGGTTTGGTGATTTCTTTTTTTTTTTTTTTTTTTTTTGGTGATTTCTATTAGGTATACATTTTCTACTTTCTGCCTCTGGTAATTTTATACACTCCAAATATGTCATCTGTATCCCCCATTGGTAGGAGTTTTAGCTGGAGTCACCCTCATAGATTCCTGGGATTTTTCCATTGCTCTAGGTTTCTAGCTTGTTTCAGAGATACCCCAACTTCAGTTGTCTCTCCCTGTATTTTTTCCCTCCATCCTCCCTCCACCTGGTCCCTCCTGTTCCTATCCCCTTCCCACCCACCCCCCATTCACCACGATATCTATTCTAGTTTCCCTTCTCAGTGAGATTCTAGTGTACCCCCCGCCCCTCCCTTTCATTTATCTTCTTTGAGTTGGTGGGTTGTTACACTTTCCTTTTTGGCTAATACCCCACTTACAACTGAGTATATGCCATGTTTGTCTTTCTGGGTCTGGGTTACCTCACTCGGGATGATCTTTTCTAGTTCCTTCCATTTGCTTGCAAATCTCGTGATGTCATTGCTTTTAGTAGCTGAGTAGCATTCCATTATGTAAATGGATACATTTTCTCCATCCATTCTTCATTCGAGGGACAGTTGTTTCCAGTTCCTGGCTATTAGGAATAAAGCTGTTATGAACATAGTTGAGCAAGTGCTGTGCTGTGGTGGGTCATCCTTTGGTTTTATGCACAGGAGTGATATAGCTGGGTCTTGAGGTAGATCTATTCCCAGTTTTCTGAGAAATTGGTTCAGGATGTGGCTTTGAACTGTGCGCATGCTGATGACAAGGCTTTTGAGGTTTTTGTGCAGTCCACTTTTGTTTCCCTTGGTCCTACAGGTGTGCCCTTCTTCAGACCCAGTTAATACCAGGTAGGCACGACAGGGACTCTGCCATTGTAACTTGGGCATGCAGCTGTCGTCATTTTGGGCATATAGGTTTTCCTTTTATTTTATTTTATTTTTTCCTTTTATTTTTTTGTCATAGTTTTGTATTTGAAAGCATGTTTATTAAAGTCCAGATGGGCTTGGAAAATGCATTATGTAGCCTAGCTTGCCTGGAAGTCAGCCTTTTGCCTCAGCTTCTCAAATGCTGGATTAATAGTTGTGAGCTACTACATCTGGCATTTTGGCCACTATTTTAAAAATAACAAATTATTTGAGAGTATATATTAATGTATAAATGGTCTTAATATTTTTAAACAGTCATGTGTACCTTGTAGGATAATTTGACAATTGCACCCAAATTAGGAACTCTTATAGTTGTCAAAGAAAAAAAAAAGCCTTGTTTTCTAAGCCTCTTGCTTTGTTTTTAAATGGACAACTTTCATAGACATCTACAAGGTAGGAAAGGGTTGGATAAGGTGACAGATGGAGTCTACACAGGAGTCTGAGAGAAAGACGGGGCTGGTGTCAGTTCCACTTGCAGAGATCTAGGGAGGGTGGATGATTCTTTGAGCCAAGACCCAAGGGGAGGTAGGAATGTGCCAGGTGGACTGGGGACAAAGGGAAGGTGGATATTGTTTGCAGTGGCTGTGACATGGAGTTCAGGGGAGAGCCAGTGGCTCAGTTTGTCTAGTATGAGGTACAAATGGAACATGGGAAAGGAGCCCCCCCCAACCCCCAATCTTGTGAGGGGTTAGAAGTACTATGCTGATCTTTAGATTTTAGCCAGCAGATAATGGGGAGTCCTTTCAGCTAGGGAGCAGTAGTGACCAGGTTCCCCAGGCAGAAGAATCACCATGGAGCAACGGAAGGGACGAAATGGGGCCTCCGTGGTAATGACAGATTCTGAGGCCCAGATGACCTTCAGTGATGTACAAGAGTTAAGTGATTTGTTTTTAAATCATAGTGGGTTTTGAGATATGGTTTAGCAAAAGTATTTGCTGCTCTTGTATAGGACCAAGGTTTGATTCCCAGACCCAGTGTGGTGCTCACAACAGCTTGCTCCTCCGGTTCCTGGGGATCCAGTACATGCTTCTGACGTCAAAGAGCTGCTGCACATACATGGTACATGTGAACTCACACAAGCAAACACACATGAAAAAAAAAGTTACTCCAGTTGTTTTTTATAGGGTCTCATAAAAAGCCCTGGCTTGCTTCAAACTATGCAGAACAGGTTGGCTTTGAATGGCAGTGACCCTTCTGCCTCTGCCTTCCAGTTGCTGGCATGATAGGAATGTGCCTTCCTACGTGGCTCAAGGTACTTGATATTACTGATATGGTTAAAATACAATCCATCTTGTCTTTCGTGATCTGGCAAGTGGCACCTAGCCCCAGATGGAGAATTCCTTTATCAGAGAGCTATGCCAGACTGCTTCTCAGTCTCTCCTTGAGGGCGTCTGGATACATGCAGGAGTGGAGGGGCTCGGGTAGAGCAAGGGCACAGTGAACTGGGTAGGACTCCTTGCTGGCTTTCAAATACTGGAGACATCAAGTGAGGGAGATGACCAGAAGTGAAGGAAGGTGTCAAGTTGGCAAGAAGTTAGGCACTGTCATGATTTTCCACCACAGGCCTGGTGGAACCTTCCCTCCTGTCTCATTCTTACATCCTTCATGAAAAATAGTATGAAGTAGGAGAAAAATAAAAGTTTTAATACATCTTTATTTTTAATTGTCTATCTGTGTGGGAGTGCTTGTGCTTATGACTGCAGGTGTACTCAGAGGCTAGAAGGGTTGTTCTCAGCGTGACACAGGTGCCAAGAATTGAACTTGGGTGCTTTGCAAGAACAGCACATGCTCCTAACTGCTGAGCCATCTCTCCAGCCCCAAAATAGTGTTTTCCTTAACCTTGAAAAATTATGAGCAATCTGATTAGCCCTTGGATGGGAGTGTGGACAGGATACAGCCACAGGTAGTGCCACCTTCTCAGGCAAAGAAGGGATGACTCACACCCATTTTCTTGATATTCCATAGTTTTCTCCAAGAATTTCCTATCTTCTTGAATATCATCTCAAACTAAATTATATAAAGCTTGTTTATAGTCTGTTGGCAAAGAGATTTAGTATGTTCTGATTTTCTCTCCAAAAGCCAGTTTATCTCTAGGAAGCCAAACTTCCCTGAAATCATCCACCCCTTGTTCCTAAGGTGGCCAAGCACTATGGGGAGTTGAGAAATGGCTTCCTGGAGGAGGTGTTTAGAAGCAGCAGGAAAAATGATGCATGTCTAAGAATGGAATCCACAAAACAGCCTTGGTGCTGGTTAGATTTTATTTTAACAGAATGTTTTCTGTTCAATTTGTTTTTCAAAATATCAGTTATATCAATATTAGAAGTGTAAACAGGTACAAAATATACAGTACATAGAAACAATTTTAACTAATCTATTTCTAATAAAAGTATGCAGGAAGGAGCTGAATGGGCACCACGGTCTCTGCCCTCTGCAGGGAGTCATTACCCATTTGGGCAAGAGGACCAGTGGCTACTTTAACAAAATGGGAATGGCTATGTGTAGTGGGGACAGCACTGTTATGACAGAAACTTGGACCTAGCTCTAATTCCACTGTGAAGATACTCCAGGCAGGCCTGAGAGCCATTACCCGGTTACTTGGCAATCCGACTACCTCCTGCATGTCTAATGACATGTAAGCACACACACCGGGACTGGGGGCTGGCCAGCTTGCTGCAGAGGCAGGAGTTCTGCATGTCTTGATGATCCGATCCATGCATGTGGGTCAAATCTTTTAAGAGGACAAGATCTCAAAACCGTTCCTTCCCTAAACCATTGTTCTAGAGAACTGGGTGGGTATCAGCTGCTGCTCTTCCCAGCTCCTAGAACACACAGTACTCATGGAGAGAGGCTGTGTCCCCTTTGAGCCCTTTATTTCCTCTTCTCTAAGAACTGCCTGTCTATCTGCTTTCTAAAGTCATGGCTAATGGTGGAATGAGATGTGAGGTGGAACCAGTGAAACAATTTTGAAAACGAACATACTACACAATGGGCAGCCAACAGAAGCATCATGGGTAATGGAGATAGCCCAAGATGAATGGCCCTGGCTTTCTGTGACTTCATGATCAAGGGCTAAACATCCTTCAGATCTAACACTACTACAGCTCCATATGATCTTCTTAGCCAGGCCCAGGAGTCACTACTACAGTGGAAGTTAACCACCTTGGACAGGTACCACAGATGGCTCAAAACAGGAAAAAGTCAGGCCTCAGAAGGTAAGGGCTGCTTCTAGTAGGGTTCTTACTGCTGAGTGGAAGCTGTCAGTCTAGGCCCCAGCATCCCTGAACAGAACTGGAACTAAACCTGCCATAGGACTGTGTGGTCCATGGCTTAGAGTGCCCTTGCCTGCTTCTCCCACTGCCCATCTTTCCAACACTGGTAAGACAAGGTGAACACACACCTCTGAAAGCCACACCTCAAAAATTAACTAGTTGTTGCTACTCTTTTCCAGCTTTTTCCTCAAGAATTAAAGAGAAAAAAAAAAAACAAAAAAAAATTGGGTAATTAAATTACTTAAGATCCTAGTATGGTGCTCAGTTTCACAGTCGGAATTCTACTTCAAGGTGGAGGCTGCACTGATAGGCCTTCTTTCCAGTGATCAGTTCAGCAACATGGAAATTTGGTTCTCCGCCATGTCTCCCTTTTTGCTTCTGAGCTTTCAGGCCATCCTGCTATCTGCACTCAGGACTGTACATTCGTGGCCTGCAGGGGCCACAGGAAGGTTGGGGCCCTCACAGGTCTCCACCACCATCATTGGGTCCCAGGACACTTAGGCCACAAGTCCAGTCAGTCACAAGGTCTGTGGAGGCCATGGGTCCTTTGGCTGCGGGGCTCTTGAAGGGGTCGGGAGGAGGCGGCAGTGGTGGGAGCGGCTGCCCGTGGGCTGGCGCCTTGGCCACTGCAGGGTGGTTGCGCTGGTGCTTGCGGAGGTGGTCCTTGCGGATGAAGCTCTTCCCACACACTGTGCAGGTGAAGGGCCGCACGCCCGTGTGCGTTCGGTAGTGGTCGATGAGCTTGGAGCGCTCTGTGAAGCGCTTCTCGCACTCGGTGCAGGGGAAGGGCCTCTCACCAGTGTGTAGCATGCGGTGGCGGATGAGGTGTGCAGGGCGGGTGAAGCAGCGGCCACACTCCCCACACCTGAGAGCGCTGCTGTCCCGTGCACTGCTCCCACCTCCGCTGCTGCCTCCGCCACCTCCGCCTCCAGCAGCGGTGGAAGCTGCCCCCGTGGCCGCCCCGTCGGACAGTCCGCAGCTGCGCTGATGTGCACTCAGGCTCACCTGCAGCTGGAAGCTCTTTCCGCAAGTGGCACAGGTGAAGGGCCGGCCTCCGGGTGGTGCTGCCGGGTGCTTCTTCTGCCCGGGTTTGTGGCCGAAGCCTTTTGTCCGGCCGGGGTATTTGCAGGGATCATTGAAGGGTCTTGGGGCCTGGCTGGGGTCCAAGATGGCCTCTCCATTGTCCGGAGATGAGAAAGGGAGCCCCTCGGACACTGTCCTCGGGTTCAGGCCCACTGGAGGTTTACACCGGAAATTCCAGCCCCACCTGACTCCGCCAAAGAGCCAATCCCCAGCAGGTGCCTCCTCCTGTGCTATGGCGGGACTCAGCTCACCTATGTCCCTCTCTGGCCGAGTGGGCTCCCGCAGGCCCAGCACTGGGTCCTGGCTGGGGAAGGAACTGCCTTGACTTTCCCAGGCTCCTTCCTGGACAGGACTGGGGAAGAATCTTGTGGCTTGGCCTGGTGCAAACAAAGTCCCATGAGCCTCCAGGTCGGTGGGATGCACAGGGGTGGCCACCACCTCCTCTTCCTGGACTTCTGTTTTGATAACAATTTTTACATCTGCTGAGAAAGAGAGTAGGACAGAGATCATTCTGGACATTTTTAAAGGACAAAATGGGTCAGACATCTTCATCTGGAAACTCAGCAATTCCTCAGCCCCATGGAGTACCACACTGGAACCTCAATACCATAACTAAAACGAGCGTCCCATCCGGGGTGAGGCTAGCCAAAAGCTTCACCTGGCCTGATGACTTCTTCACAGTAAAAGAAGCCCTCAAATTTGGTCCCCAGATTCTGTTTTCTTTTTCTTTGGCTATTAAAAGTAAATTATGAATTTATTCTAAAAAGATTTCGAGTGCGGTGGTCATGTACTAAAAATAAGGCAGAAGCACAGGCCTGCCCTGAGGTGTCTGGGACTCTTGTCAGCTGTCAGGCACAGTCTTAGCCACGGCTTTCCTGTGAATCCCCAACTTCATGGGGCTGCAAGATTAGCCAGGACAACACGTGGAGAGGTCCCTGGGCATACCATCTGGTACACAATAATTGCAGTTATCTGATGACCAACATGTTAATGAACAAGTAGAACTGTATGACTTTATATAAATGTATTGCAATTTCAACCCCATGGCTTGATAACAGGGCTCTCGGTACTTTAGCATATTCGGTGGTGGTGATAGTAAAAGATGACATTTTTATTAAGGTAACAGATAATTGGCCTTCAAACAAAAAAGAACATGAATTCTAGAATGTGAAAGTTACTCTTCCCAACTCTGACTTCTGCTGTCTTTGGCATTACAGATATCTAGGAAGTGGTTTTAGCTCTCTGTCTGCATCTGTGCCTGGAAGCCACAGGTTGCCTGGGGGGGATGGGGAAGGCCTATCCTCTAAGAAATCAGCTTATTTGAATAGACTGGCTAACTCTACCTGGAAAGAGCGATAGGACAATCTCTTTAAACCATCAGCTGTCAATAAAAAAGCCTATGACCAATGAGCTGAGACAGGAAATAGGAGGTGGGACACTGGCAGGAAGAGAGAGGATTCTGGGAAATAGAGAGGGGTGCGGGATACTCGCGCTGGAACACTGAGGAAAAGGAAGTAAACCAGCCATGTGGCTGAACTCAGGTTGGAATAAAGGGAAGATTTGCCCTGGATTTGGACGCATGAAGCTGAGGTGAGGTAACTAACCATGTGGAAGGCATACAACAGTTTGAATGGGTTAAATCAGTTACAGGCTAGTCGGGGAATGAGCCAAGCATGTGGCCTAGACATTTATTAATAAATTATTAGTCTCACAGTTGTCATTCTGGGAGCAAGAGCTTGGAGAAAAAAAATGGACTTATTGTTTTTACAAGGAACTGTCTGTGAGAACATGGGTATCCTCAAGAAAGGCTGTTCAAGTCTGAGAGTTCTGAAGGAGACAGAGAGTAGGAGGCACAGAGCGCCCTAAGGTTAAGTGCATGCTGGCTGAGAGGATGGGACAAGTCACCAGTAAGAACAGAGCACCCATGCGGGCACCCCTCTCCTCTCCTGGCACTCCTGTACCTTCTGTGGACGCTGCTGTGCTGAGCTTCAATGTCCCATCTGAGCATGCTGAAGAGGGGTGGTGGGGAGGGAGAGCTGCTTGCCAGGAAGTGGGTGGGATGGTGGTTGAAAAGTTGGAATGGACACCTGTAAGGAAGAGAAATTGCAGCCTGTGGGTTAGGGGAAGGACAAGGACATGTGAGAATAGTGAAAACGGAGGGAGGACAGGGCAGGGCAGGGAGACCTGGAAAGCCCCCAGTGGACTATTGTGAATGGCCATGTGCCTTGGTCTCTCTGAAGCCAGTGTCTTTTGTTCCCTTCTCTGAAGCACTGGAAAGTCAGATGTTATAAACTGCTCATCTTTCTCCAAGAAGAGCTGAGCCTATGTCTCAAGGTAGGTTTGAAAAACTCCTTAGGCCAGATTTTCTTCTTTTTTAAAAGACGTATTTTAATTTTATATACATAGGTGTTTTGCTTACATGTATATCTGTGCACCGCATGGATGCGCTGTACCCTCAGAGGTCAGAAAAGGGTGTCAGATCCCCTCTGACAGTTGATAACTGCCATGTGGGTGATAGGAATTGAGCCTGTGTCCTTGAAAGAGTAGCCAATACTCTTAACTACTGAGCCACCTAGAGCCCCCAGGCTATATTTTCTGACCGCTCACAGTTTCTCATTTGCTCTTAGGCACTTTTCCAGCCCTACCCTCAGTCCCTAAACCTCAGTCTGCTCTCCTGCCTCAGTTACTTACCAGAGGTAGCATCTGTGGAGATGTCTCCTGCTCCAGAGTCCAGCTGGCTGAGGCCCCACGGCTCTTCTCCAATATCTGGCTGTCCGGCTGCCCAGGCTTCCACACCCAGAGCCTGCTGCTCCTGCAGCTGGAGCTCTCCTTCTTGCTTGATTTGCATCAGGAGGTCAGGGGCAGGAACTGGGGCTCCAGAGCCTAGGAAAAGGAAAGCACATGAGCCACTCGGCCCTTGGGGCAGCCCTTAGGGTCTGACAGTACAAGGAAGCCATGGTAGTAGATTCCTGGGTTGGTGAGAAGGAAGAACATGCCACCATCTTCAGGGTTAGGGATGGACCAAGGGCACTCCTAGCTGTCCTGGAGTCCTGCTCTCACTTGTATGTAATATAGGAATGCCAGCTCGAACTTAACCCTATCTTAGCCCCTCCATTCTTATATATTCACATGAGTTTAAAAGAAAGAGCCCAGAGGTAAAGGAAGGCAATTCAATTAGCAGATATAGTGAGGAGCTGAGGACGTAATTCGATTGGTAGAGTGCCCATCTAGCTCAAGGGGCCCTTGGTCTAATCCCCAGCACTTCGTAAAACAGGTATGGTGGCATATCCAGGTAATCCCAGCACTTGGGAGGTAGAGCTAGATGGGTCAGAAGTTTAAGATCATCCTTAGCTACAGAAACTTTGAAACCAGCCTGGGATACATCAGGCCCTGTCTTCCTCCCTACCCTCACCCCCCCCCCAAAAAAAGTGTGTGTGTGTGTGTGTGTGTGCGCGCGCGCGTAATCATCAGAATGGACGGTAAATGACCCAGAGAGTTGTTGATACATTAGCAGCAGAGTTGCTCCAGTCACCTCAGTGGGTGTTAACAGTGGCATTGGGAGCTTCTGTTTGGGGTGAATGGCAGATAGACATGAGAGAAATTTCCCCTGGTATTAGCATCTAAAATATTGGGAAAAACACAAAAGCTTTTTGTTTTGTTTTATTTTGTTTTATCTTTTGAGACAGGGTTTCTCTGTATAGCCCTGGCTGTCCTGGAACTCCCTCTGTAGACCAGGTTGGCCTGTAACTCATAGAGATGCACCTGCCTCTGCCTCCTGAGTGCTGGGATTAAACGTGTGCACCACCATTGCCATGCAAAGTATAGCTTTCAAACTAATGAAAAGTAGTAATAGTCTGAAGTGGGGGACTATAAAAAATCATCAAAGGAAGAACGGGATAATGTTAAAGAGACAGGAATAAGACTGACATCCAAGAGAATACAGAGGAGGATCCAAGGGGTGGCCAAAGTCAGCAACCTGTCTGGACCAGCCATACCCTACAGGATGGAGCGATTCACCATAGCTCCAGAAGTGTTCCAGTACCAAAATTAGAAAGGATGAGTAGGGGTGGAGAGATAGATGGCTTAGCACTTCAGAGCACTGGCTGCTCAGAAGATCTACAGCCAGGTTCCATTCCCAGCATCCACATGGTGGCTCACAACCACCTATAGCACTAGTTGCAAGGGATCCAAAATCCTTTTTTGGTTTCTGAGGGCACCAGAGGGCAAACAAGTAGTAAACAGACATGCATGCAAAGAGAACATACATACACATAAAATAAAAAGAGAACAGAAAGCTAAATAGAAACCAGAAATTCCATGTAGGTATGTAGAAAGATACATACATATGTATGTATCCATCTGAGGGCTTACGGGAAGACTGAAATGCAAATTAGAAGCTGGTATCTGGGTGCTAGAGTTAATGAAGATATCAAAATGTGTGAGCTGGAGTGACAGTGGCACATACATGATTTTATAGTTTTGCATGTTTATAGTAGAAAAGACAGGATGAAAATGGGTTAATCAGGTAATGCAAGGTATTACAAAAGAAGCAATACCAACAGCAAAAGCATTTATGTATGTATTTATTTATTTATTTATTTATAGACAGGGTTTTATTGTGTAGCTGTGACTGTCCTGGAACTCACTCTGTAGACCAGGCTAGCCTCAAAACAAAAGCCTTTAAAGAACAGAGGGAAGTTAACACCTGTATTTAGGCCTCTAATTCCTGCTTCTTGGCAGGCAGTGGGAAGGGATCACCACAGCACATAGTTAAGGTCAGCCTGGGCAACAGTCTTAAGACCCTGTTTCAAAATAAGTGGGGGAAAAAAAAAATCCAAAAGGCTGGAGACACAGCTCAGTGGCAGAGCACTTGCCTAGCATGGTGTGAAGTCTGGGTTTAATCACCAGTTTGAGAGAAGGGGTGGAGAGAGATTTGAGAGAGAGAGAGAGAGAGAGAGAGAGAGAGAGAGAGAGAGAGAGAGAGAGAGAGAGGGGGAGGGAGGGAGAGAGGGAGAGATATTGATTTGAGACTGGAATTGATGTATTAGTATAAGAGAAAATAATGCAAAGAACAAAAGATTAGTTTACTGAAAAGAATATGAAGCCAGTTCAGCTCTAATAAAATCCCAGGAGAAGGAGAGAACATCTATAACCAGCCTGAGAAGGAGACAAAAGGAGGAAGTGGCCGTGGATGCAGCTGAGGTGAAGGAGCATGCTGTGATGGGGATTCTAAGTCTGAAATGTCTGAGGCAATGGACAAATTCCTAGAAAAATTACAGCTTCTAAAACTGACCAAAAAAGGAACAGAATACCTAAATAATCTTATAAGTAAAATAAAATAAATCTGTTGTCTAAACCTTCTCACAAAGACTTCACTGGTGTCTTCTGAACACCCAGAGTAGGTCATTCCAACGTTAAGCAGACTCCCTGAGCAAATAATATTAGAAGCCACATAATGGCTTGTGTTTTTAATACTAAAAGCAAGAGAAGGCAGTCTGCAAAAGGAAAATTACAGCCCAACTCAAGAACAAAGACTAACAGTTTTAGAACAAACAACATAATGTATAATGTACACATAGGTCATGACACAGCAAAGTTTATTACAAGACTGCAAGGTTGGCTCAACTTTAGGAAATAATGTAACACTGTATTAGTACTCTAAAAGAAACAAACAAAAACTGTATCATCTTAACAGATGCCAAAGCCAACAACAAATTCATTCTATACAACTGTCCCTCCTGTTGGATGTGGGAAACCCCTAACTACTCAGAACTGTAAGAATTATTTAGTGGCATTCTCAATGTTGAAAGTTCAAAGCAGTTTCTTTGAAATCATGAATAAGCAGAGTGCAGACTATCATGCGTATATCACTAGGGTGTCTATTATTGAGTCTGTATCACTAGGGTTCCTGTTACCATCGCGGTATCATTAGGGTGCACCTTTTCTACTGAAGGATTTTCTGGGACTTCTTAACAGAATAAAGTGAGGAAAAAACAAGTATTAATGAGAATTTTAGTAAGGTTTCTAGATAGAAATGTCAACAAATGCTCTTTTAATACATGACTAGTATTCTGAGGTGCTGATTAACTGCTGTTTTTCATCTGGGTCATGGGTCTTAACCTGAGAAACAAAGGAGGAAAGCCGATGAGGCTGTTATTTTCTTGTGTGATAATTCAGGATTTTGCTTTCTATCATCTGTGGACAAGGACAATTTTTATAATGACCCTAGTCATTATAAAAGTTAGCCGGGGCTGGCCTGGAGCCTGTTCCTAGCAGGGAAGTTGAGGACCTGTCTCTGGAGGTGGCCAGAGGCCCAGGCTCTGTGCTCATCTAGCCCGATCCTTACCTCTGGTACGGTGTGTTACCTCACACTTATCAGAGGCTGGATTGAAAACAGCACCTTCACAGAGTTCCTGCTGAGTGGAAAGAGTGCTTTCTGCCCTACTCTTCATAAATCAGCAATAAACAAAAACTGCCAGTTAAGACAAGACACCATTGAGCACAGCAATTAGAAGAAAAAAAACACAAACAAAAGTACAAAGGAACACAGAAATAAAACTCTGTAAAAAGTAAAGACCTTTTGGGTATAAAATTATGAAACTTCAAAGAGATATTATAGACCGAACAGTGACTGCAGATCATCAAGGATAACATGACCCAATGACAGTGAATACCCTGCAATTTCAAAACCCCATTTATATTTTTCATGGTACTTCATTAGGCAGATAAAATTTTCCCACAACAGTAAAGGAAAAAACCAAAATGCTAGAGGAAGAAAGTACCATGTCCCTTCTGTTGTTCAGCACAAAACCTAATCCTGCTGGGTTAAGGACTTGAACATGTAAAGCATAGCTTATCCCTTTCAGTAGGAAATATAAGACTTTATGATCTGGAGACTTGGAAACATTTCTTAATGGAAGACACAAAACAGTTCACTCATAAAGGGAAAGACTGCGGAATCCAAGTGCAGTGAGCGAGAAGTCTCCGCTTTTCAGTGCAGCACCGAGCACATCGCTCTGTGGTAGAGCACGGCCTAGCATCTGCATGACCCTGGAGTTCTACCTCCAGCATACAAAACAGCCAGCCAACTACCCACAACTAGGGAAGGTATCACCACACATACAAAGATTCATATTAAGACATGTAAAGAACTTACGAATAATTAATAATAAGACATAGAAGAACAGCCCACAAACATAGCACACAGTGCTTCATCTCATGTACATTTGAAACCACTTCCCTCCCACATGATGGTCAGAAATGAAGAGAACCTTTCAGAAGAGGCAGCAGGAGAGGAGGCCTAGGTGCTGCTGGGAACTCACTTCAGCAACACTTTACCATCACCAGTTAAAGTCAAGTCCTGGGTCACTGCCAGGTCTACACTGGAGAAGCCTTTACAAATGTCTAAGAATTTTCACAGCAGCATGTCATTAAAGCAAAACAACCAAACCAAACCAAAATCCACAACTAACCCCAAAAATAACTCACAACTTAGAAAAAATGCAAATACTCCCTAGCAGTAAAAGAAATAAATATAACGTGTTAGTTATAAAACTACAGAGTGAAAAATCATGAAAATGAACAAACTATTGTTTTGGTTTTTGTAATCAACACAGGGGCTCAAGTACCAATGTCAAATGAGAAAAGCAAGCCCCAAAAGGGAATCTTCACTATGGTGCCATTCATAAAAAGTTGAAAACCAGGTAAAACCAAACAATAGTTTTTGGTAATAAACAGAGAAAATAACAATGTAAAGGAAGGCAGGGACCGATCTGCTCAGTTTCTAATTTCTATTTGTTTACAAGAAGGAAAGGCTGGGACTTGGGTTTTGGTGGTGCTCATTTCTCGTGCTGGGTGTTTGACACATGAATGTTGATTTCACT